GCATTGGCTGCAGATGGCAGCGAAGATGAGGACATTCGCACCTCTTAAAACATCATCACATTGTCACATTCGTCATCGTTATCTTATTTCATCACTTTAATTATCGCACTACTGCATAGCTTTTTGCTTGTGTGGTGCATAGCTCTCCGTGGTACAATCAATACAAAGTATTTTGTTCCTGAAGAAGCTCATAGCATGGGGATCAAAACGTCGGACCTCATGCCAAACAACACGTGGCACAAACCGGAAAGCATGTCAGAGAACTCTTATTGTCAATCACACGTCATCTTCTTCATCATTCATCAGAACCATCTTCACCCATCGCCACATTTGGTAGTTTCACTGTATATCATTTAGTGAGAACATTTTATGGACTCAGTTTATTTGCTCCACTTAAAATGCTCTATTTTTGCAATATATTAATAGTTTGATTGGTGTATGGGCTTTCAGTAAATATCAGTAAAAGGCCATATGAAATGTTAGCCAGAGATGTCTGGTAGATCATGCACATAAATGGAAGTATGGCACCATACAATTTACAAATAATGGAGCGATGGCAAGGTAGTTTATGCGAGTGCTATCTAAATTGGTCATGGGCGTCCCCTTTACCAATCCTCACTCATTGGAGTGGTGAAGCATATTTAAATATCCTCCATACACTGACCAGGCATGAGGTAGGGTTTCATCCAGCAGTGGATGAAAAAGGGACTGGAAAGTAAATACATAGCTGCACAAACAACTGTGTAAATAGGCATGAAGCTATATTTTGAATTACTTACTGCTGTTACCCTTTCATCACAATACCATATTACAAAAGGAAAACAATCTGGATGCATTCCCAGGCTATTGAAACTGAAACCTATTTAAGTAGGGCCTAATTTGGTGGTCCATATGGTGGGATGGAATGCAAATTTGTAAGCACATCCATCCACGTGAGTCACGTGAGGATTGTATTGGCAATATAATGGAGCACTGGCCTCCAAAGCGATTGTGATAGAAGAAAAACATGTTTATTATTCCCTCAGGTGAGACATGTATGAGATTAATTGGCATATTATTATCATCCCCTTAATGATGAAATACTATTCCCATCATTATGTAACCACCATAATCAGATACTGCTCGCCATTTAAATGATCATCATAATGTAAACACCACCCTTGCAAGTGTTCACTTCAAGTTCGCACTGCCTTTAGTTTTTCTACCTCCCATTGGCTTAAATTTATTTGCAAAATAACATTTTAATACATTGCCATTTTATGCTTCGCCATTAGCAATGTACCAAAGTTATAATAAGTGAATAACCCATTTCAGAAGTACCTTTGAATCAGACTACACAAGTTAGGTGGATAAAATATAAATGAGTCGAAAATCCATAGCTTGCACTCAATGGCTTGCAACTTAATTAAAATGCACCCTTATTTGTCTCCAAAATTCCTACGCAAATGATCCTAATCAGTGTGAGATGCGTGACTTCATGAGTCGGACTACTGTGAAGGATGTCGCTGTTTTTGCGGTATGCCTCCCCGATGTGTTTCATGGTTGTACCGCGTGATGTTCGGCACAATGTTTGGCATTCCACTCCACGTGCTTGGGTGCTTCAATTTCAGTTTTTTAAGAAGCTCCAGCACGCGGAATGAAATATTGTACATCGTGCTGAACAATGCACATTACCACATGAGAACACACTACAAAGGGTTGTGGGAGGCCTTGTGCGGTGCTACCAAAGGCAGATAAGCCACCATTATGCCGGTAGAAATTCATTATGTATGTATGTTGAACTTCTTTTAAACAGTACGTAGCTAACCGTGCTAATCGGAGGTACGGGGGAAGGACAACAAACTAAATTTAAAAAGCAGTTGCAAAGTAATTAGTTTTGAATATAGATTTAAAAGTGTATAGTTCCAATGGCTTCCTAATATCAGAAGGAACAGCGTTCCAGGGGGCCACAGAAACGCATCCAAAATGGCCGCGATGCGGTGACCGTCTTCGTTAAGTGGCTAGCCATAAAAAAACACTTGGAGATCAGTCACTACTGCCCATTGCTATACCACTCGTGCTCCATGATATACAATACGGTACCATTTAGATTTTTAAAGAATCTACACACGTACCATATCTCCAGACATTTTACGAATAAATTACATTGTACAACAAAATGTGTTGAGCCTGGACTTATAACACCTGCCCGGCAAGGAGTTGGCAGTGCGAACGGCCGATGGGAGGGGGTTTTAGAGGCGGGAGGTGAGGCCAGAGGGAGGAAGGGGTGACCCCTCTCCCAACTCAACCGACTGTTGACTTGAGGCTTCAACAGAAAGCCTTGGTTTCTGCGGCATAAAGTGCTCGATGGGGAGTTGTGAGAAGTGAAAGGGTAGCAGGCATGTACAAGTCCACAGAAAACCTTGAATATGAAGAAGGAAATCATGTGGTCGATATGGGACTGGATTTTGGGCCAGTTGAGGAAATCGGGTATTGCTATTGTCTATGTTTTTTATTGATATATCGTAACAGGTAATATGCACTGAATGGAAACTCTTTTATTCAGATATGTTCTTATGTGGCCACTTATGAAAAAAACATTCCAATCTGCTCTTGCTCACCATAATAACTCATCATTTTGATTCTATTCCATATTCAGAAATTGCCCAAGGTATGCATACTCCGATGTGTTTTTCAGTTGTGTCCCTCCAACAAATACCTTACTTCATATCTTGATGCTAAAATGGTGAGTTTGAATGGTATCACTTAAATATTTGAGAGGTCTACCAAAAACAGATCGAATGAGATGAGGAATTCACCTAAGATTATGATGGATAATTATTACATCATTTGATAAAGGAGGTGACATGACGGATAGCATTAAACAGGTGCAGGGACTGTGTTTAGGAATACAATTGCAAAGTGGTTGCCAAGTTTCTGCCTGTTATTAATTTTAGGATGAGATGTAGGCATGGAGGTGTGACAAGTTGAACTCAGTCTGCAGACAATGGACAATGAAATTGTAATGGAACTCGACAGCTCGATTTTTTCAGTAAGAATCGTCAATTTATCTTTGATTCTCGGTTTCCAGTTGAATGTGACGCAAAATGACACAAACATCACCAGATTAGGACCCATATGAGATGCTGATGAATACATTATATGAGTGCAGGAAATGTAAAAAAAGCCTAGACGATACATGGCTGCCGAATCAGACTCAGATGTTACAACCTTACTGATACAGAAAAAGAGTGTATGTATGTTGAACTTTTTTCGCACAGTACGTAGCCAAGCATGCTCATCAGAGGTGTGGGGGAAGGACAACAAGCTAAACACAAATAGCAGTTCTAAAATAATTAGTTTTCAATCTATATATTTTTACTGTTTTTATTTCAACTCAACGCTAGCCCAGTACAGAGCACCGATCACAGAACAAGAAGGGAGGGGGGGGGGGGGCAGAAATTCCAGGAAGAAAAGCCCGAGATCGGCGTGCCAGGGTTTTGTGAAGGGGGTAAGATTGGGCCCATTGCCCCACCTTAGGTGGGGGGCCTCTAGAAAAGAAATAAACGTTTCAATGGGGGTGGTGGGGGGGGGGGTCGGGGAAAGATAAGATGGAAGATAACTAACATAAAAGGGGATAAGGACAGGAATTTTTCAATCCTAATATCGGAAGGTTGTCTGTTCCAGATGGCCACATAAGTGAATCTGAAAGCGGCCGATGGAGCACGACCTTAATGTCTTCGTTCAGCAACTGGAAGGCAATGCAACTTGGCGAGCACTGAGCAGACATGGTCGGATCTTGCAGTACCCGTCATGATCAGATCCAGGTTAATAAGATCCAAAGAGACACAATGGGAATGGTATAAAACATCTGTGTTTGAGACAGCGGCGGATGTGCCAGGTTTGAAAGTAAAAATAAAACAATATTGTTAACGCAAAGAACATTAAATCAAGTTTTTGATAGCTATAAAGGATTTGCAAATGATTAATCGAGCTGCATTAAATGAACAGAAGGCAAGACATTAGGGAAATACTGGCATAGGAAAGGCAGTATTTGGAAATATCAGATAGCTGAAATGGAAGATGCTACACGAGGTGCGTGTGAATTCTAACTCATGCGAGATGTTGCACAGCATAAAGTAAAATTTTCCTTGAATTTCGCATCTTTTTCCTTTATTTCAGTTACCAATTTTACCACACACCTTTTCAGGTGTGAGCATTGCATTGGTATGCTGTGTGGTCCTTTTCATAGCTATGAATGTACATAGGAGTTTTATAGTTCTCGTGAAAACACATGAAGTGTCCTTGGTTGGTTGGACAGAAGTGATATTTCCTGGGCAGAGCAACACAAATCCTCTCCACTCTCAAATCAACGACAGCATTCACAGTATGGCATTGAAAAGCCTTGAATGTCCTACATTTCTAATAAATGAATATTTTGGTCGACATGTTTCTGAATTGTTTATGTTTGGTTTGTCTTATAATATACAATGCCGTATTTTTTGTAATTTATAATTCATCATGTTTACACATTTTAAAGAGGTACTTTGTTATCATAGGTAATTTCTCACTGAAATACATTTTATCGTGTAATTCCGTGGTGTGTTATACATTGCAGATAAACAGGCAAAAATGTAACTTGCAAAAAAAACATATCCATGTACCAATAACATGATATTATCAAAACTTATGTAAAGTTTCCAGTTGTTTCTAAAAACTTGGATGTGAAAGAGCATGAATATGTAGTTACGTTGCACTGGATGTAATAATGAAACAAATAATATGCAAATTTATTAATTGAGACATTCGGAGAAATATAATTTCATTATATATCTGTTTCCTGCTAGGATTTGGTGCAGATTATATTGGGGGAGAGAGTGGAATTCAAATATAATTTTATATACTGTATATACGAACAAGGCAGCCAAATTAACTGCCATAATTCTTTAAAATTGACCATTTAAATATTCAAACAAAAATTGTTAATCGTGTGTTCCTTCAAAAACCACTGTGTTTGGCAGGCTGCAAGGGACTGGTTCCGTGGCTGAAGACGAGGATGGGAAGGCTCGGGGCTGCACCCTGCAGTCACAGCACGCAACCCTCAAAGTGTGGACCCACTTCATTGCCTCCAACGACGTCGGCCAGGTCACATCGATGCTGGGATCTGATTGGCTGGTGGACGTGACATTCCTTGTGAAGGATCACGTGACCGTGAGGAACCCAGCGATCGCACGCGTTCGCCACGGCACCATCGTCGTTGCACAGCAGCCTGGGCGAACCTTCGTTCAGGTGAGTGACAAATGGCGCCTCTCCCAATGAGTGTTTGCGTTGCAGTGGTCGTGCTGTTTTATTTGTTTCTTCTCCATAGACTACCAAAGTAAAATGGTAAAGAAGTAGCAAACTCTCCAGATTATAAGATGCATTTATTCCCCCACCCCGCCCCTGTATTTTAAAGACAAACGATGGGGTTGCATCTTGTATTCCGGTATGTGTGTGTGTGTGTTTCCAGATTTGCATAACTGTTTTGGCACCGAACACAAGTTTGGAATGCATCCTACTTTCCGGAGCATATTATAATCCAGAGAATATGGTAGCTATCAGTAAATCTAAATTAGGACCGTTACATTCATATGCCTGCAAAAAGTTTGGCTTCCTGTCTTTCTTACTCTCAGACTACTTTTTTATGGGTTATGCTATTCGCGCCGAATTGCACTTTTGTATATTGAAAGTCGAAACTGAACTTTGAACTACAGATGCAACTTCCTAGTGAAGGCTGTTGCATTGTTTGCCACATCATGTTTTGCCAGTGATTAAAGTTTGTAATACATCACCTAAAATTGTACTTCATTTGAGTTGATTGTATTGTCATGTAACATATTTACAAGTGGTACGGGATCAATTTCTGAATCAGAATTGAATATTTTTGTTGTTTTTATAATATCAATGTGTTAATATTTATTTTTCACGGAAGTGAAATGTTACGTATGCTCTCCTGTCTAAGAATTAAACCAGGGAACATTTGCACTTAATTATAAGTCTTATTTTTTTTTTACGTAAAATGCATCCACACCATATTCTGATATATAAACACGCGACAGACAAATAGAATCCCAATAGATTGATCAGGATTTGATTTTTCCCTTTCTCGATTGGATCATCGAAAATCACAATAATGTACAATGGGTTAAAATCATATGTTTTATTTTATTTTACATGGCGTTGTTAGGTAGTGTCAAACCTAACGTCCTATTTTTTACATATCAACATCATGAGTAAGGGCTATCTGAATGTCTGATGTAGGGGTTGTGGGACCCCAAATGCTCAGGGCGGCCACAAAGTTGCTGAGCATGAGTGGTAGAATTTGCAAAGGCAGATGGGCCACCAGTAAGACACTAAGCCAGGGGCATCCATCAACACTTGGAGAGGATGAGCTGCTGCTCATTACATTACCATCCACCATATACAACATCATGACATGAATTCTGATTAAATGTCCCATGATGGCACAAAATCTGTGCATTTTCCCCAGGTACGACTGCAGCTGTAGACAGTGGGTTAGTTAGTTGACTCTATTTCCACAGCTGAGGAATCACTGTTGGGTATCTGTAATATCACTCGAAGTAAGACGATAAGGGAGTACCAGGATAGCCCTGAGCAAGAAGAGTGCAACAGATTTTCAAAATATTTACCAAAAGAAGGTTATATATACATACATATGCTGGATAATGAGCTTAAATGGTCCATAATACAGTTTTTTTTTATTAGATCGCATCAATATAAACGTGTCGTTAAACCCACCACTACCTGACAGCCAATTAGTAAGGTTTTTTACATAAACAGAACATGCCAAATGGTTACTAGTACAGCACACTGGTGTGTTGGAGAGTAAATCCACAACATATACAATGAGTACGACGTTTCGACAGTAATTACAACTGTCATCATCAGTTGGCGTCATCAGTAAACCTGTATTATGGATGATATTGGTCACGAAAGCCTACATGTTAAACCCAGCTTAAATGGTATAGTGTAGCGATTTATGGGGTTGATGAAGCAACGTGGATATATTCCCAAGATATAGTGATGTATCCTTTGGTAACGCAGGCTAATAGATGTCTTCAAGCAGCTGTTGCGAATTTCATTGGGAATACGAATTTAAAAATACAAAAAATTCTGCCAAAGCATAAGCAGATAATTCCATTGATGATGCAGTTTAACTATTGTGATGTGAAGATTTACAAAGAATATCAACAATTCCAGATAGGCACTAAAGGCCGGTTTACACCTCAAATAAAATATATCAGAACCCTAAACACTATGGGTAGGATATTCTTGGCTGGAGGTGAGACTGGTTGAGGTGATTAGTCCAACAGTAAAAATTATGGAAATGTGGTGGATGTTCAAGCTGCAGAAGTAAATTCTTCATGATAATTTTGCATGCAATTTAGTTGAACATGTATCATTGTCTGTTTACACATTAATACAATAGTGACGTTATTGTAATTGCACTATGATCAGTCGAAAACAATCGACCCAAGTTATTTATGCTGCAGCCAATGCACTATTTAAAATTGATCTGTTTTTGAATTTTCTCTTATTTATATTTGCCTCATTGCTGTACTTCATTTAATTTGTTTTTGCTTTTTTTACTTTTGGTGATCCAGGTCACTTTGGCAAATGAGACTCTATCTTGGTTTCTTACGTTCTCATCTGGTTAAAAAAAATTATTTCAACGTAGACATAAGACTGAGGTTGTCCCACCTGATAACAGACGCTGTGTTGCGCCCGAAACGTCGTGATTAAATTTATTTTATTTTATACCTATGTGACTTTACCAAAAGAACTAAATAGTATAAGACTGAGGTTTAATGTATAAGACTGATGGAACTTTATCGAACGATCCTTTTGGTAACTACTGAGAAATAACTAAAGATAATGTAGGATCATTCTGATAGTGCAAAGGCAAGCAATTAAACAACTGTGGCTCAGAAAATGACTTTTTCTTGGCAGATTCAGAAAGAAGAAATTGAAAATTATAACACAAACAGGAACAATACGAAAATTATATATTTATTTAAAAGACTTAAAAAAGAGAGAGGGGGCCAGTAGGCTTATGGGTAATAGTGCCGAGCTAGCACTGCTGATATCTTGGGTCTGAATCCTGGAAGCCCACCCTGTGATTAAACTTGGTTCTCAAGTGTGGTGAGTTGATGGTCTCAGCCTGGTCACCAATGATTGCACGCAAAAAAATCAGCCGGTATTAATTTCCTCTGTTTAATATACTGAGGACAGAGACGTGGTTGGCATTCTGAGGTTTTTTTTGTGCCAGTTAAAAGGGTAAAACCTATTTCTATATTCTGAGGTTTATTTATGGGAATAAAGTTAATTTCATTTAAAAATACTCTATTTGGGCTCCTACATGTTCACTTTCTAGGCTATTTTTTTAAGTTGTTCAATATCTTCAAGTGTTTGCTGGCTGTAAGTCAGTAGGTGTTTTCCTCTCTCATTCCTCTTTCCAATGTCAAATTTACCAACCATCCTCTCGTCTCTTGTCGACCTTTGCATTAACATCTCCCATCATTGTGCTGACTATGGTAAAATGCAGATACAACTATCTGAGCATTATAGCCAGAAGTAGTAGCACCAATTATATTTTCATAATCAGGCAGATGATACAGAAGAGTGTCGTAATATTCCAATGAGCCTTATGATTATTTGCTAGCTTTAAGGAAGCATGTGTTTGTGGAAAATAGAGGGCTTTGAGAACTTCAATGTTTTGTAATTCTTGGGGAGATAAGCAGACCACTTAATAACGTGGATTATTAGACATGCGTGTGCCCTGATGGACAACTATTGATTTTAGGTGAAAAACAGAGTACGGCAAGGGTGTATTTCGTTCCCCACATTGTCTCGTGTTTTGCCCTGCCTTGCATTCACCAAAGGCATTGATGATAATCAGAAAGATAGTGAAATACCAAGATATCAAAATCTGTCATTTGCGACTGAGAAATGTGGTATATGCCTTGTAATACACATACAACTGTAGAGTATGTAACTTTGGATTTTAGAATAACACGTAGACTATGTCATAGATTATATTAGAAATAAGTTATTTTAATGGGTGGACTGCATACAGTGAGGGCAAAAAATATTTGAATCCCTGCTGATTTTGTACGTTTGCCCACTGACAAAGAAATGATCAGTCTATAATTTTAATGGTAGGTTTATTTGAACAGTTAGAGACAGAATAACAACAACAAAATCCAGAAAAACGCATGTCAAAAATGTTATGAATTGATTTGCATGTTAATGAGGAAATAAGTATTTGACCCCTCTGCATTACATGACAGTACTTGGTGGCAAAACCCTTGTTGGGTAACTAACATAGGCATCGGAATGGCATCCAGAGGTCAGCAACCAAAGGGAAGACCGATAGCCAGAGGGTGAGGTTCTGTAAAAGTGGACACGCAAGGTCACATGCAATTTTTGCAGTAACTACAGAATCTATGTTAAAGGGGCAAAGGTGATATGTGGTGGCATGAGAAGCATTTGTCATAATTACCTATTTACTTTGACCTTGCTTTCCACAACAACACCATCAACATACATACGAGAATTTCATACATAATAGAACCTAGAATACATACTATAATACTGGAATCTTGGAGGGATTATTTTTAAATAGCCAGAAAGTTATGGCAGTCATGTATTTATAGGTTGTAATGTATACCATACAGTGAAACATGTTCATTCTGGCATTGATGAATGCAGAATAAAGTTGACTTGATAATAAAATTATGCAGCCGTTATTTACATGTAATAGAAGGCACACTGTGGTTATGATGTTTTATATCTCACTGCAATAAAAATCGACACAGACATGTAAAGCTTCCATACATTAGAAGGCTTGTGGTTTTTACAACCTTCTTAAATGAATAACACATTCAGTTTTATTTCCTTTGTTCATTATAATTCATTGGCATAGAATATAGGTGACACGTTAAAATATGTATTTATGAACATTTCTTAGCATAGATTATGGGTGACACAAACAGTTCCAGGCTATGTGTATATTCCTAAGGTCTTTGATTTTTGCACTGAAAATAAAACTCACATGTACCAGTTCATCTGCATGTACGTCTCTTGGTATATTATGTTATTTAAAGAAAGACTGCTATTCTGCACACAAAGACCATGAAATTGTGTTACAGTTTCGGAGTATTTTTGTCAGTATTTTTAATTCACTTATTTTAATCGAAGCAAATTATCATTTTATATTTTACATGGAG